CCTTAGCTCAGAGTAGGGGATTGAGGTGTAGGAATGTTTGTTGGGTCTGGGAGGAATTTGGATGAAGGAGGGAGTTGTGACTTGGGGCAGAAGATTGGGTGCAGCAGAGGATTCTGGCCTGTGAGAAGAGTGTAAGTGGGGTTTCAGGGTCTTGGAGGCAATTGTGACCTGGGGCAGAAAGGGTGCCTATGGTTTGGGTCATGATCTGGGGCAGGGAGTTTGAGTACAGGAGAGGGTGAACTACCATGTGTAGGTTCTGGCTGGGAGGCACTTACCTGGTCTGTGCCCAGTCAGCTACCTGCAGGACTCTCAGATATCCCCCTGCCTGCTGCAGCTCAAAGCAGCTGACTGCTAGTGCCATGTGCCTCTCCACACTATGTACCTTGCGGGGAGCCTTTGTGTGCTGCCTCTGCCACCAGCACAATCCTTGCAGCTTCCATTGGCCAGTTATCGACCAATGAGAGTGTGGAGGATTGTTCTGCTGGTGGGGGCAGCATGCGAGGTCTTCACCCGCGTTCAAGCAGTCTGGGGCTGCAGTAGGCAGGGAGCCTGCCTGAGGGTCCCATTGGGCTGTGGGCCAGATCCAAAGGCTTGTCAAGCCAGACCTGGCCTCTGGGCTGTATCTTGACCACCCCAATGTACTCCCTGGAAGACCCTTGAGTACCTCTGGTTAAAAATCACTGGTTTACACCACCATCTCTCTTTCTTACTCTCTTAAAATAAAAAAAAGATGAGTACTTTTCTTCCCTCCAGATTGGATGGTACTATCTCACCCCAACCCGAGGGGGAGGGCATGAGGAATTACATGCACCCAAACACTGTAGATGGAAGGAGTTGGCCAGCAGCTGGCAGGAGGGATCCCCTCACCAATGTCGCCAACAGTGGCAGGGGGAAGTAGAACAGGATGGCCTCAGTTGTTTTGCCCTCCTGGTGTGCTGCTTGGGTATGAGTGAGTATGTGAGAGTGAGACCTCTGCTACTGGCCTCAGACCCTCTAGACCTTGGGACTGTCTCTGTTCAGGAAGAGGCTGATGCAGGGACAGGAAGAGTGGGGGATCATGTGGCTGGAGACCCCACCCTTGAGGGCCCCCTCATAGGTCACTTCTGCCCCAACCAGGAAGCAGGATTGGAGTAAAGGACAGAGGGGGGAAGATATGGATGTAAAAATAACAGCACCCCCGTTCACTAACTGTGTAACCAATTGAAATTCAGTGGGTTACACAGTTAAATGTTCTGCAGGCTCTCAGAGGCTGCTGGCCCTGCGAGCTGAGAGTTAATCAGTAATGTTAACTGATAAGCTAAATTCTTACATCCCTAGAGAAAGATCCTTTCTCTCTCTCTCTCTCTGTAATTGCCTCTGTAAACTCAATTGTTTACTGAGTATCCATCTTGCAGGAGGGAGGGCAATTAGTTTTCTTTGGGATGTCAATGTGTTAAACTCTATTGGGTGGATGAGCAGGACTATTGTAATTCTGTAATGTGTTAGTGGATGGCATAAACAGATTCTGATGACTGCTGTCCATCTTGATTGTCCCCAAAATTGTACCCGGTGGTGTAAAGGGCAACATGGTCACAGCTGTCCCTCAATTTCCTTCTGGTGCCCATGGCAGTGAGATGTAATGAGTGGTGCCAGTCCTTGTGCTGCCAGTCTGTTCTACAAAATGTCACAGTTCATATTCTAATGGGCAATGCATCTTCATTATACTGTTTAAAGGAGCAATGAGATACATGATCATCACCTGACATGGAAGTAACGAGCAGGTAACGGACATGATGTAATCAAAATGGGGTACCCTCAAATCACTCCTTATGTTTGGGAGTCAGAAATAACCTAGCAGACAAACCATCACCAGTGATGTGTGAAATTCCATTATTGAATTGGTAGCAAAGGCAGGGGACACATGCCCAGGATCATTGCAAGAGGCCTTTCTCATACTATGGGATCAAGGACCCATGTACGTATTTATCCTTTGATTCCAAAAGGCACGTGCAAAGTTAGACAGGATGTAGCTACACTGATTCTACAGGTTGAACCTCTCTAGTTCGGTATCCTTGAGACCTGAGCAGTGCTGAATCAGAGAATTTGCTGGACCATGGGAGGTCAATATTGTCTAGCAGCATTACCAACATTTTCACTGCTTACTAGGCTCTTAGAAAAACTCAAAACAACAAATTGTCTTGCAGCACCTTAGAGACTAACAAAAATGTAGATGATATGAGTTTGAAGACATTTAAGGGTAAATTAGAGCTAACTACTACCAGTACAGAGTACTGAGAACCAGGACTGGTGGCTGTAAACATATTTTGTGGGACCATGGGAATGTTGGCCACACCCATAAGTGGACATCCAGCTAACTAAAATCATGCTGGACCATGGATGTTGCCGGATCAGAGAATGCTTGACTAAAGTGGTTCAACCTGTATTTGCATTAAATTGGCAAAGACCATTTTGGCCGACTGTTCTCAGAATATCTCAGAGGGGTACTTCTAAAAACTTAAAACAACGAATAGTCTAGTAGCACCTTAAAGACTAACTAAACATGTAGATGGTGGTATGGGCTTTTGTGGGCAAAACCCATTTATTCAGATGACCTGGAGTATTAATAGTCCAGATCCAAGAATAAATAAGGGAGGGGAAGAGAAGGAGGGGGGAAGAGTGAATAGATTGTTCAAGTTACAAGAGGCTGATAAGAACAATTAGAACCTCCATTGTTTGTTTGGTTGGTTAATTCATTAGGATGTGGAAGGTAATGTGCGCCCAGCCAATATTTCTGTTCATTGCAATCTGATAACTTCATTTACAAGTTTAATTTTTAAGTCCCAACCCTTCCCTGTGTATTTTTGGCTTGTGGAATTGGTCTGAAACAACACAATGAATTGGAGATCCACTAATGAGTGACCAGGCATGTTAAAGTGTTCTCCAACAGGTTTATGTGTGTTGCCTTTTTGGATATCTGATTTGTGTCCATTAATTCTTTCCCATAGAGACTGTCCACTTTGGCTAATATACATGGCAGTTGGGCGTTGCTGGCATTTGATGGCATACATCACAGTAGTGACTGTGCAGTTAAATGAGCCCCTGATGTTGTTGGGTCCAGTGATGAAATAGCTTGTGTAGATGTGTGGGCAGGGTTGGCACCGGGACTGATTGCAGGGGCGATTTCCTGGATGATCGTGATGGAGGTGTGTTGCTTGGTTACTGGAAAGAATTTGTTGAGGTTGTTGTTAGGTGAGGATTGGCCTTTCCCCCAAGACTTGAGAGTGAGGGGTCATTTTCCAGGATAGGTTGTAGATTGTTGACAGTGCATTGGAGGGATTTAAGTTGTGGGCTATAGGTGATGACAAGTGGAATTCTATTTTCTCTTTTTAGCCTGTGTTGAAGTAATTCATGTCTGGGTACTCTTTTGGCTCTGTCGATCTATTTTTTCACTTCTCTGGGTGGGTATTTCAGTTTTAAGAATGCTCTATATAGATCCTGATAGAAATGTAACCGTGTTAGTCCTGTTTTTTGTTTCAGCTACACCAGACTATGTAGCACTTTAAAGACTAACAAGATGGTTTATTAGGTGATGAGCTTTCCTGGGCCAGACCCACTTGCTCAGATCAAATAGTGGAAGAAAATTGGCACAACCATATATACACCAAAGGATACAAACAAAAAAAATGAACACATGTGAAAAGGACAAATCAAATTTCACAACAGAAGGAGGATGGGTGGGGGAGGTAAATGTCTGTGAGCTAATGATATTAGAGGGCTTTGCTATAGACGATGGATCACATGGTGTGTTCTGGATGGGAGCTAGAGGCATGTAGGTAACTGTATAAGTCAGTAGGTTTTCTGTAGAGTGGTGTCTAATTTGCCATTGGTGATTTGTACTGTGGTGTCCAGGATACAATCCATCATCTATAGCCAAGCCCTTCAATACAACCGCATCTGCTCTAATCCCACTGACAGACCAGAAACTTCAGGATCTCTACCAAGCATTTATAAACCTCAACTACCCACCCAGAGAAATAAAAAAACAAATTGAAAGAGTCAGATGAATATCTAGAAACCATCTACTTCAAGACAGACCCAAGAAAACCAACAATAGAACACCACTTGTCATCACCTACAGCCCCCAACTTAAACCTGTCCAACACATAATCAGTAAACTACAACTTATAATGGAACAGGATACTAAACTCCGAGAGGCTCTGGGAGACAGACCCATAGTCTCCTATAGACAACCACCTAACCTCAAGATGATTCTTACCAACAATCACAGGACATAGCACACTAATACCAACCCAGAACTTTCCCTTGCAACAAACCCCGTTGCCAGCTTTGTCCACATATTCACTCTGCTGATACCATTATTGGACCTAACCAATTATAAGTTATAAGATGAGTTATAAGATCAAGAACACACATTCCTGTTCATCCAGAAATATAATTTATGCTATCATGTGCCGAAAGTGTCCGTCTGCTATGTACATTGGACAAACGTCTCAGACACTTCGCCAAAGGATCAATGCCCACAAAACAGATATCAGACAGGATCACAAAGAAAAAATAGTTTCTTGCCACTTCAACCAGAAAGGACATTGTCTCAACGACTTGATTACCTGCATCCAGTTTCAAAGACCTTTTAAGTCTTCACTTCAAAGAGAATCCTCTGAACTGTCATTCATGCTTAAATTCGAGACTTTACGCCTCAGTCTAAACAAAGACATTAATTATCTTACCCATTACAAAGATAGCTTCCCCAATTATCACCTCTAATATCATTAGCTCACAGACATTTACTTCTCTCCTCATCCCCCTTCTGTTCTGAAATTTGATTTGTCCTTTTCACATGTGTTCATTTTTTTGATTGTATCCGTTGGTGTATATATGGTTGTGCCAATTTTCTTCCACTATTTGATTTGAGCAAGTGGGTCTGGCCCACGAAAGCTCATCACCTAATAAACCATCTTGTTAGTCTTTAAAGTGCTACATAGTCCTGTTTTTTGTTTCAGCTATATAGATCCTGTAGGTGTTTGTCTCTGGCTGTGGCATTGGAGCACATCTGGCTGTATCTTAGGGCTTGGCTGAATACAATAGATTGAGAAATGTGTCTGGGACAGAAGCTAGAGGCATGAAGGTAAGTGTAGCGGTTGGTAGGTTTCTGGTATAGGATGGTGGAAATTTGTACTATGTGTCAAGGAAGTGGATCTCTTGTGTGATGGATTGATCCAGGCTGAGGTGGTTGGTGGGGTGGAAGTTGTTGAAATCCCTGTGGAATTCTTTCAGGGTCTCTTTCCCATGGGTCCCTATGATGAAGATGTCATCAGTGTTGCGTAAGTAGAATAAGGCTGCTAGAGGGTGAGAGCTGAGGAAATCTTGTTTAAGGTCAGCCAAAAAGATGTTAGCATATTGTGGGGCCATGCAGGTGCCCATGGCTGTGCCGCTGACTTGAAAATACAAATTGTCTCCGAATCAGAAGTAGTTGTGAGTGAGGACGAAGTCGCAGAGCTCTGTAACCAGGTGTTCAGTGCTGTCATTGGGGATGTTTTAGTCTGTAACTTTTTAAAAACAATGAGTAGGCTTGTGACACCTTAGAGGCTAACAAAAGTCTCTAGTAGTATCATAGTGTCATAGTATAATATCATGAGTTTTCATGGGCAAAACCCACTTACCAGATGATGAACTGCAATAAAAATAACACATTCAGAACATCTGTCTAGACATAGTATCACTGAACTATGTGACCTTTGGTTCTCCTAAGCCTGAAGTCACTATATTCAACAAGCTGGATGTTGGCCAGTTGAGCGCTACTGGAAAAAAAAGTGCTTCCTTTTAGTACAAGAAATTCTACTACAAAATAGAAAATTTTCCATCAGAAAGACTTCTCTAAATGAAAGATTTTCTTTTTATGTAGCTCAATTAGGGATGTGAAAGTGTAACTGCATACAAGATTAAACAATGAGCTTAGGCTCATTAGTTAACCTTCACTGTTATTCGCCAGTTGCCCATATGCCCCAGCTCCCCAAGAGCCTACTGACCCCTTCCCCACACTTTGCCCCAGGCATCATTTTTAGAAGCAACTGCTTTAGACAAGAATTGAGAAAATGAAAACATTTTTAGCACTTCCTTTTTTATGGTTTTGCATAAGGATAACTCTTAGGCCCCAACCTAAGTTCTTGTCAAAGGTAGTTACTGATTTTCATTTGAACCAAATAAATTTACTACTTCTGTTTCATAAATCGTATATCTGTTAGTGGGAGACTAGATTACACTAGACTGCTCTCCGATCAACATAAGTACTCTACCTCAACCAGAGGCAGAAACTATATCGGTAGGAGAGCATTGCCTGCCAACATAATCTGATATAAACAGTACTTTAAGTCAGTGTAATTTATGTAGCTTGGGGGGGGGGGGGTTTCTCACACCTCTGAGCGATATAAGTTGCATTGGCTTACGTGGTAATGTAGACAAGCATTTACACAGCAATTGCCTAAGAAATGTTTACATAGAGTGATAGATATGTCTTGTTCAACTATAGTTTATATATTGAAAGCAGTTGTGAAATTCTAGTAAATGTTATTGTGACAGGCTGCTGACTAAGCCAGAGCTCTGTCTCTACAGCCTGACTGAAAAGGGCAATTGAAGCCAGCTGAGCAAGCCCATGCCCAAGGGGCTAATGGGAAACATCTGTGGGCCTTGTTAGCCAAAGGGCTAGAAAAGGTAGTCAGAGAGGCAGTGGAGGGGAAGTGGAAGGGGAGGAGCCAGAGAGTGGCTGTGTGCGCTCCCGAGCCAGCTGGAGAGGATAGCTGAGTTTGCTGCTGGAACAAACAAAACAATGTAAATGGATGGCAGCAGGAAATTGGCAGGGATAATAAAAAGCATGGGTGATTGAACAAGAAATGGTCTCCGGTTGATTTGTGGCTGAAGGAGTCCCTGGGTGAGGACTTGACCACAATTATGTTTACATTTATTAAATAACAGCTGAATAAATAAATCACATACAATTTATTCATAATGTTCAGATACATTATTTGGTAAACTGTGAAACAAACATAATGTTTTTCAGAACTCTATGCTCTTAGGACACAGGATTTAATGAGTCATATCTGAGTAATTTATCACATGCATCTTGGATAAGGAGGAAGTCACTTGAAAGACACATGTTGTGGTGTACCCTATAAGCTGCTTTGTTAGATGAAGTGACTCCTTCAAGAGCGTGCAAACAGAATTGCTTGTATATTTTAAACATTTTTAGTTTTTAAGGGAGCTTTTTATATTAATATTCCCAATTTCTTTTTTCAGCTGTCAAACGTTTAATGAAGGAAGCAGCCGAATTGAAGGATCCTACTGATCATTACCATGCACAACCCTTGGAGGTTGGTTTTTGTGTGTATTCACTGGAGCTGTTAGTCTGTTTCTGCTGTATAATACCTAATTCTTCATGATGACATTGCTTTGTCCATAGGCAGTATGTAATTTTGGTTTTGGAGATAGGAAGCTTTCAGATTAACAGAAGCCTTTTCTGCCTCTTGCATACCCTTAACTGTTCAAAAATTGGAGGATTTTTGGAATGTAAACTCGGACGAATATTAGAGTTATACCTAGTACAGATCAATTTAGAAAGCCTTTATTTACCCAAGGATTTTGAATATCACATTCAGTTATTGGAGAGACAAGATGGGTGAAGTAATATCTTTTATTGGACTAACTTCTCTCATCTCTCACATACAGAAGCTAATCCAATAAAAGATAACTTCTGTTGGGGAGAGAGATGAGCCTTCTCATATCTCTAATATGCTGTGATAAACATTGCTACAACACTGCATACAATCAGGATTTAAAAGAAAAATTGCATACATTTGAATGGATCAGCAGGGTAGCAGATGAAACTATTCATACAGAAGACAGATGTGTACTCCATATTCTTGCTATCTTGGGCTCAATGATGACAAAGCTACTTCAGCTCCAGCTGAACAAAACAAAGTGGAAGTATTTTTGTTGAGCTGTATTGACCTGTTCAGCAGATTCCAAGAGAGCCGTTTCCCCCCGAAAGACCACAAACCAGATGATGATCGAAGGTGCCGAGCCAGCTTTATTGTTAAGCAAAGTACAGTAATAGTTGTCAGTAGACTCTACCGAATCACCATGCACTTGTAACAATGGCTTCAGCTCAACCAATGGGGAACTCTCACTGCCCCCTGCTGGACAAAAACTCATTTTAGAACCTTTCCTGAACCTAGGTCTGTATCTGTGGGGAGTGGTTACCAAGGTCTTTTTTAATGAGTTGGTGGTGCCATGTGCTTTCAACTTATGACCAGTACCAATTACTGTTGTACACCTGGACTTATTATCAATTCGTGTTAGCCATGTTTGTGCGTTGGTAGCTAGGCCTCGGGCCTCAAATCAGGCCTGGGCTACGTGGGCTTTTGTTTTAGACCCTCATCTTGATACAGTGAGGTTTTGGAAATAGTTAAAACAGTGAGCCAGGTAATAAGTTAAATGGTTGAGAAATTCGTAATACAAGCTGATTGCATGACTGCATTTGTGAGGGATAATGCCACCTACACAGTGAAACCTTGGGACTGAGGTTTGAGACTTATTTTTAAATGCAGTACACCTGATGTGCATGGTGTATTTATTTAACTTTGTTGGTGATTTGTGGAGGAAAATACTTCAAAAGGAAATTAATTTATTGTGGCTTGTGGCTATAAAACAGCTTTTCATTGCCTGCCCTTTAAGGAAAGCAGTTTTGTAAGTTTATAATTGAAAAAGGAAAGTCCTTGCATCCCACCAACTCCTAGAATAATCAGATGAAATATTTGGTTCATAGCACCTGTTTATCATCTTGAACATGCTGAGGATTACAGTTCCTTTTTTACTAAGAAGAATGATCGTAATAGTAGTTAATCTATTGCAGAGGTTAAGCTCATCTGAAGAAGTGGGTTTTGCCCACGATAGCTCATGATTCTGTGTGTGTGTGTGTGTGTGTGTGTGTGTGGTTAGTTTCTAAGGTACCACAGGACTACTCATTGGTTTTTAAATTTACAGACTAACATGGCTACTTCTGAGACTTTCCCATTATGTGTATTTGAAAAAAGTATTGTACAGAAAATAAAATTCCAAAATAGCTTGCTCTGTGATGAAAAGTATATCACTGTCTACATGAATATTCAGTTTGTGGCACAATATAGTGTGACTCTCCTGCTCTAGCCTACTGCTTATAAACTGTCAATATGTATCCTGCTGACAGTGCACACTAACAGGTTGATCTACTTCCATTTCAAAGAGTAGATTCAAGGACATGAACGAATTAGTCCTCCTACTTCAGCTTGTTGTTAACTCAGTGTTCATGTAGATACGTTACATTGTTGTGTTAATAAATGCATATTTGTTCACATTGAGTTGTAATTATATAGGTTTTTTTGGTTGCCCTGACTATAGTGTGAACTGTGACTATGTTGTGTGTGATGCATAACATCACTTGGATAAAATTGTATCCATATGCATAAGGTGTTGGGTACAAGACTCTCTTGATGTTGGTGTGATAACAAGAGGCATACTTGTGCCATTTTCTCTGTATGCAAATTCCCTGCCCATTGTAAGTCTGATGTTTGTGATGTTCAGACTAGTCAGTCAGAAAAGGACTTAAAGAATCAGGTAGAAATTGAAGTATTTTTGAAGAAATATTTTTGAAGAAATTGCCTGTATTGGCAATATGAGACACAGGTCACTTAGAGAAAAGTGCAGCATTGTGACTTTTTGTTTTGTTCACTTGTATACCTGAGGAACTGAGTAACTAAGTAATGACATTTCAAAGGAAATACTTATTGCCCTTTAATTATAGCCTCTGCAATGCTAGTTCCCTGTAGTGATATTAGTTATCTTCCTTTAGCTTTCTTCTGATTTTTAATTTTTAATTAAAAATTAAGAGCTATAGTCCATGCTTGTTTTAAAAAAATGATTATCTGTTCTTATCCTACTCTCTCTGACATTCATGCTCTTGGTTTTTTCGGTTTTTAGGATAATCTTTTCGAATGGCATTTTACTGTTAGAGGCCCTCCAGATTCAGATTTTGATGGCGGAGTTTATCATGGACGAATAGTACTACCACCAGAGTATCCCATGAAACCCCCAAGCATCATTCTGTTAACAGTAAGAGTATTTGTCTGTCATGCTTTTTATATGGTCATTTCAATTACAGGAACCTTAGAAGTCTTTAACAATTCATTACAGGAAACCCCCAACTTCTGACTGCCCAAGTTATGACCCCCTGCACTTACAACCATTTTTATAAGTGCGGAAGGGGCCGAAAACTCCCGACTTATGTCCTCGGCCTGCATTTAAGATGGCGCACAGCATCTATTGCAAATGAGGGTTTGAGTTATGCCCCTGACTTGTGAGGCTTCCCTGAGAACCAATCATGTCGCAAGTCGGGAGCCTCCTGTATTGGCAATATGAGAGACAGGTCACTTAAAGAAAAGTGCAGCATTGTGACTCTTTGTTTTGTTCACTTGTATACCTGCAAATTAGACTAAATGAAATTTGAAGGCTATTTTTGTAAGATTATATACATTATGGAAAAGCCATCCTACGATGAACTTAGTGCTTAGACCACTGAAAGGGGAGGGAAAAATAGTTCCTCTACTGTTGCAGTAGGGGCCTAATACCATTTGATTCACTTCGGAATAGTGATGTACGCAGGAAGAATTACCTATGTTACTCACTGAGATGTCATCTGTAGTTACATAATTTAATTACTGTTATCTTTTGTTTGTTAAAACACTTCAAATTATTGTTTCAAGGCCACAGAAACGGTGAGAAATAGTGGTTGAGCAAACAGGGGCCTCATCTTGGGTGAGGTTTACTATCCACAATTTCATTTAACATCGAGAGCTGCATCTGCCCAGCACTATGCAGGATCTTGCTTCAAATTCAAGCTATCAAGAGGATTTTATTTAGTAAATATTTAAATATTTGTTTGTGTAAAATATCTATCAATGAATGAATGAATCAATGATATCTAAAAAAGAATATTAAAGTTGCACAAACAAACACAGAAACCTTACAAAATACCGGAATTAAGGTTACATGTGCAACCTTAATTCAGAACCTTTGTGCATATTTTATTAAGATAAAAGTATGGAAAAAATAGTATGTGACCATTCAATTAAAGACTGTATCATAATGAAGTTACATAAAGTTGAGCCATATTGACTCCTCTACTTGGGTTGTCATTGGGGATTTAAATGATTAGATCTACAATACAAATCTTTACCCCCGAGTTAATTGAGTAACTCTGTGTTTCTCAAACTGGGTCCTGACCCCCTGGGGGGTCACAAGCAACGTAGAGGGGGGTTGCAGTATCACAAAGTTTGAGAACCCCTGGAATAACTGGTAGTAGTACTAGACTGCTATCCTCTATGTGGACTTGCTACTAGAATGGGATTACAAACTCTTTTCTAGTAGGTTTCCACAGCTGTTGACAGTGGATGAATGTTAGATGCTTGAGATTCCAGAGTTCAGTTTCAGGTCCTGAATGGGAGCTTGCTCTGTTGGTTATGGATGCTCTTCCTGTGCCCTCAGCTTGTTTTCATTCTCCTCTGCTCCTGTACACCCTCGGGTCCTGCTCTTCATCCTCTAGTTCTGTTCATTCCCCTTCCCTGGGTCCTTCCCTCTTCATTGCTTCTCTCTGTCCTTGGGTTCTTGCAACCTCATCACTTACTCTGTATTCAGATTTGCTGCTTATCCTTTGCATTGACCGTGTACCTTCCTGGGAGCATGGATAGCACAGGAAGGACAGTTTCATTGCTCTTAGTCCTGTGCCTCCTCCCATAGTCAACCCCAGCAGCTGAGAGAAGTAACAGCAGGTATGATTCTGATAAGTCTCTAGAGCCCCATGCAGACGGAATCATCAGAACGTAGCTGCCACACTCTGTAAAGCATCTAATGAGCATGTGCAAACTGAGATTTTTTTCAAAGGGCCATAAACTGGTCAAATTTGGATAATTTTCACAAGGATGGCAACAAACACTTTTCTGGTACCCAGAGGAACTCCTGTCAAATGTTAAGTTCCTGAAAAGCATAGAAGTGCTAGTTTCTGAACTAAACATATCAAAAAAATTAACATGGGCAAAACAATGTATTTTTCCCTAATCTAATTCTTGGAAACTGCTGAACTGTTTTAATGGAAATGTTTTTCTTCCTTCTCCCCCCCCCTGCCCCAGTGAACCTCATGTGGACAATTGGCAAATGTTTGGGTTGACAATTGGCAAATGTTTGGTTAAGTTGTAAGCAACTGAAGACACTTTCAGTCATAAGAATCTATCATATATGTATATATAGGCAAAACATGCATTAATATAGGCAAATGATGGCATTATAGAAGCTGTAACTTTTAAATTGTTTTATGATTCAAGAATGTAATTATGAACACCCATTATTCATCAATTCCAGTAAATTTTCCATAGTATTTTTGTTCTTAAAGCAGGCAAGTTTATTCTTATTTGTCATATTAAATCTTGCAGATTTTAAAAGTGGTATCCAGAGCTCACTTTTGGAGGACTTTTGCCGCCTTATGATTGTTTTCAGTGCTTTGTGCAAATGGAAGCAACAGTGGCTTCAGCAACTCTAATCTAGCTTTATATTATTGTCATTTGTTCCATTGTTACATATTTGTGGACAGATTTACTTGAAACAATTCTTACAGCTTAGATTTCTTGGTAGACGCTGGCTAGTGTAACAAATAATATTTGGATTGAAGAATGTCTTTTGTTTTTCTTTGTGATTCCCTTCCCTGAAGGCCAATGGCAGATTTGAAGTAGGGAAGAAAATTTGTTTAAGCATCTCAGGACATCACCCTGAAACATGGCAGCCTTCATGGAGTAGTGAGTATTATTTAATATTCATTGTAACTCTTGAGCAAAACATTGATGGATATCAACAAAACTGGTTTTCAAAATTATATTCTTCATTAAATTATTCAATATTTTACCTGATTTATACTGTGCTAATCAGCATATCGCTTAAACATATTGCTTGATATATGGGCTAATCTCTGATGACATGCAGAAGAATATTTTCTACTTGCTCCCCTGACCTCAGGGAAACACTGGAAATAACAGGGTTTCAGCTTCTGTCTCTTATTGATAAATAAGTAGAATGGAGAGAAGAGGCATGTGATTTTAATGTTGTTTGTCCTTGATACTTTGATATCTAAACTTTTAAATTAATGCATTTCTGTTAATCTCACTTGAAGCTTTTTTGTAAACAAATCTATTTTGATTGACAGTGTAATTACTATCTTATGATGTCCGTTGACCACAGGGCTAAAAAAAAAATTACAAGACGATACTATAGCTGCAGAAAGCCAACTAAGTGTGTATTTCTCCAGGGTAAGGTAAAGGCAAAGTAGGAGCATGGGCTGGTGCTGTGAGCACATCCTCTCCCCTATCAGTCACATTTAATTATTCATGTCACTTTTTATTCAGGTTAACCAAGCTTTAGTGTCTGAAAACTCCAAAGCTATACCCAAACTTCATTTTGGGACCCACACTGATTCCATGTTAATCTCCGTTTTTAATCAAAATAGGAGAAATAAATGCTGAGTGTGTGGAGTTCACCTAGATGTAAATTAATCACTAAGATCTAATCCGTCATAACTAACATGGGGTATTCACAGTTTTCCACCACAGTTATCTGGAACTAACCTTTGGGGCCTGTATTGCCCATAATAAGTCATTTTTATGGATGGCAGGACTATGACCATCACTGATGCTAGGCTGCCTTCAATTCTGCAGGTGGAATGGCTCCTCTGCTGAACTGGTAGGAGAATTTCCTGCACAAGCAAGGATATTGCACAGTTGTGGGCAGACAAGGCAAAGCAGACAGAAGTAGGAAGTCTGTTTCTCCTCAACTAGAGCAGCAACAGCATAGTGGAAGGTGGAATATACTTCCTCAGCATTGTGGAAGTAACACGCTTCCTCAGTCTTGCCAGAAGACTATAAAACAGAAAGCACCATAGAAAAAGAAATCTCATAGGGGGAGAGGGTAAAGGGGGCTCATCTCAAGGGAGAAAAAGATGGGGTACCCAAGAAAGAGAAAGGCAAGTTGGTATGTTTAAGACTAGTGAAGGATGTGAATTGGTGTGAGGGGATGTAAAGGGAGGCTAAATCAATTATAATAAATCAAAAGAAGAAATATTTACAGATCTCATATATGTTATGTTCATTGCAGACACACAGAAAAATTAGTCTTTGTACTAAGGCCTAAATTCAGTAAATGACTGTCTGTGGGCCTTGCAAACTTTAATCTCCTTATTATGGTCCTTTTTCCACCTTACATCCTCCCTCCTTGTTTTCAACTCTACTGTGCATTTTGATTCATTTTCAGTCTTTATCTTCTGCTCCCTTTCATCAGCCATCACTTCATCTCCCATCTTCCTTAACATAATCCTTTCTTCTGTGACTCCTTGCTATTAAAAGAAAAGGAATTTTTCTTATATTCACCTAATATTTTGTACAGTAAGGACGTTTTTGTTGATTTTTTTTTTTTTGTGTGATTACAAGAAATTTTCTTCAGACAAAATGGAATCTTACAGGCTAATCTCATTTTTTGTTTTCCAAAGGTCTAGAGTCAGTTCAATAGCACTTCTGCGAAAAACTTAGTTAATTTTTTTTCTTTCCCAATTTCAGTAAGAACAGCTTTATTAGCCATTATTGGTTTTATGCCAACCAAAGGAGAGGGCGCCATAGGATCCCTAGACTACACACCTGAGGAAAGAAGAGCACTTGCCAAGAAGTAAGTCTTATTTTTTTAACATCTCCAAAATTTGTAATATAAAAATCTTATCTATAGGAAAAAGAAATTCATTTCATGGATATCCCTAAAGAAAGTGGACCTTGGTCTTTCAGTATTTGGCTTCCTCATTGTTGCAGTGTTACTCTTAAATAATACTTTAATTAATGTTACATTTTCAGATGTGACAGCACTCTGAGCAGTGTGGTTGAATGAACAATATGAAATGCCCTAAATTACGCCATCTCTGCCTGCCCATTCTAAAGAATTGATTCAGTAGAGTAGTTTTTAAGTAAGGACTTAGCATACTAAAAGTGAACAAAAGGTTAGTGCTTAGAGATTTTTTTTTTTTTTTTACTTTCACACTTCTAGGATGCACAGGGATCACATCAGATTCCATTTTCTAGTAGTTTTGAAAGTCCATGTTAGGGGCAAGAAAGGAATTGGGCCAGTATCGCAGTACCTTGACACACCGACAGTATGGGGAGCTCCGGGGATACCTTCTCTCAGCCCCTCGTGGTGGCTGGGAATTCCAGGACTGGTGGCTTGGAGCACTAGGTTCTTTCACTCCACACAGAGCCAAGAGCTCACTTAACAGTTCCATCCCCTTCACCTTGGGGCTGAAGTGGAAAATGCCTCAAAGGTCTCTGGAAGTCAAAGAATCTGTGTCTTCTGTGACATAACATTGCCATTAATAATAATAATAATAATAATAATAATAATAATATAATCAGTTGTTTCAGTTACTTATCATTTGAAGTTTAATCCCTTGTTTTTATAGTTCAGAAGCTATCTTGTCTCCTCACTAGGTTGATGGCTTTGTTTTCCTTTTATGTAAATATGCCTTCATTATTTCTGCCCATTGACGAGGTTTGTTAGACAATTCCCTTGTCTGGAGCAAATTGGACTTGTATTTTGCTTGCTAATTTAGAACATAATTCCAGGGAATATCCATAACTTTGTGCACATCCCATACATATATAATGCAAGAATATTAATGATCAGTGAAAAAATTTAAAGAACAACTAACAGTCTTGAAGCACCTTAAAGACTAACAAAACATGTAGATAGTATCATGAGCTTTCGCGGGCACAGCCCACTTCAGTCCCTTCGGCAGCAACTTGCTTGGATGCAGCTTCAACCTGCCTGGCCATGGCAGTAACCCACCTGGCAGTGGCTTCAACATGCCGTGGCAGCAACTCTCCCATCCACCACGTGTTCTAGGCCTGAAATGCTGGTGGCAGCTGCTCCACAATGTGGTCTCGGTTCCAGTCACAACCAGCCCCGACTGCCGGAGTGGCCGCCTGAGCAGCCAACATGGCCCAGGGTCATCTCTGTCCCCATCCCTGTCCCCACCAATGGGAGCAGCCATGACACTCACCTTCCAGGAGCAGGAGGAAGTGAGTGCTGCTGTAGAGATGAGCAGGCTTAGATTAGTTTCTTTTGTGCATTGCCGCATAGACATGCCTGTGAAGGGAACACTGGCACAGTCTCCTGGCCGCATGGAGGAGGAGGGGTGGAGGTGAGCTCCCACCTTGTGTGCCTGTGAAAATCAGTGGTGTGCGTGCTGTAGGTTGCCAACCCCTGATCTACACACACAACACATTACTTCATCTGATTTTAAAAAAAGCCACTACATTCTCCATTAAGACCCAGTTCTGCAGGTATGTTTGCAATAAATTAGTAAATGATGGCCAAGTAACTAGTTAGTAGGAGATAGTATATTTGGAGTGTTTATATTCTCTCCGTGTGTTGCTTTTCTCCTGGACTGAAGCCTTTACAGGCATTTACTGTGTCTAGCATATTATGGATGCCACTAAAATACAAATACTAAATTTACCTCTGTGTTATAAGTTCTGGGAAATAGTCATTAGTGAATTTCATCAGGCCCTGTTAAATTGAACTAATATAATTTATCTGAGTCTTCTTTAACCTGTTCTTATTCAGGCTTGAGGTTTTCCACTTATTATAAATATCGTGTCAAGCATCTAGTCACAACCAACATTTTAAATGAAGTGAAGTAAAATATACTTTAAATACCTCTGCTTTCTTGTTATTGTCTGTTAATAGATCTCTTTACCAGCTATGTACTAGTCTGCGTTTACCTTAGTTTTCTCTTGTTCTTAACATATATATATATATAAAACCTTTTTTAATAGTTTCTTCTTACTGACTTATGTTCTTTGTCAGATGCAACCCATTTTGTCTTTGCTTTTCTTTTCCTTTTTTAAAAGTCTGTGTATACATGCACTGTTCTCTTGTATTCATTCTCAACAATTTGCCCATATTTCAATTTTTTGTAGGATTCCTTTCTGATTTTCAGGTCATTAAAGAGCTCCTTATGGAGCCATATTGTCCCCTTGCTGTTCTTTCTATTAGTTGGCAGTTGTCCTTTAGTATTGCCTGGTTGTGAAAGTGTCAGCTCTCCTAAATACCTTCTTTTTCCCTTGCATTTTTTCCTATGGGAATCCTACCCAGTAAGTCCATTGTCCTTATTCTGCTCCTCTTGCTTTTTCCATTCCTTAGAATTGCCAAGTCTCTTATTTAATATCAGTTCATCGAAGTTGCCTTCAGATTCACATCCAATTCCTCCAGGTTTGTCAAAATCCAGTCTACCATGGTGTTGCCCTTGTTTTTTCCTTTTTATCTTCACACAAGGGCTTTCAGCTGGTCTGCGTCTTTTCTCCTTCTGGACTCAGAACAATTGTATAAATTATTGATATACAGTGAAACGCCTCCCTTTTTCCCCTGCCTGTCCTTCATGACCAATATACCCATCTATATCAATAGCTTAGTCATAAAATTTATCCAACCAAATTAGTGATGCCAATTAAATCATAATATTACTTGTGTAATAAGACTTCCAGTTCTTCATGTTTATTCCCCCCTACTCCTGGCATTTGTGTACAGGCCTAAAAGATATTGAAAAGATCACCCCGCTGTTTTTCCTCCTTGTTGATTCTATGAACCTATTATAATTTTCCAGCCCCAACCCAATTTCTAGCCCTTTGTCAAGATCAATTTTTTTATATTTAACCTGTGGGGATTTGCCATTTAAACCTAGTTTAAATCTACCTCCTTGATGGATTGACAAGTTGGCATCTGATAATATTTTTCCCTTCTTCGTCTGGGTGTCACCATCTCTTCCCTCCAATCTTTCTTCCCAGAAAAATATACCATGATTGAGGAAGCCAAAACTTCATAATTCATTAGCTTCCTTGTTTTTTTTTAAAGTTTTGCGGAGAAATATAAAACTCACTGAAGCTTCTACATAATTTTTTAGTAGGTTAATTTAAAAACCAAAATCTTCTCTTAACAGAAATTAGGGCTAATGGTTGGATTAAGGCAGGCATGTCCAAAGTCCGGCCCGCGGGCCAAATGCGGCCCGCGGTCGGATTTAATACGGCCCCCCGCTTCTCCCGGCTCCCCGGTGCTTTTTTTAACCGGCGCGCTCAGCGCGCCGCTTCGGGTCGCCGCCGCCGCTGCGGTCCCAAACCCTGCCCCTGCACTCCGCTTTGGGGCTGAGAGTGCAGGGACAGCCCCCGCTTCCTCCCCCTCTCCTGGCTCCCCGGCGCTCCTCTGACTGGCGCCGCTTCCGGCCGTGCCGCCGCCGTCCATGGCGGCCGCTGCGGGCCTAAAGTCCACCATGTAGGGCACGGCCGCGGCCCCCCCCCCCCCCTCGTGTGGGAATTCAAACAAAAGTTGGTTTAAAGTATTTTTATGGTTCCAAACTAAACAGCTCCCATTGCTTACTGTTAAAACTGCATCTCTCACCTGTTCTCTCTTTTCTTCCTTTCCCTCCATTGTTAGATAGAAGTAAGGCACAAGGGGGAGAATGGAGCCCACTTCTATGATGAACTAACTAGGACAGGCATGTCCAAAGTCCGGCCCGCGGGCCAATTGCGGCCTGTGTTCCGGTTTAATATGGCCCCACGGGTAATTTGGCAATATCTATCTTTTATGGCCCCCAACGAATCCATATGTATTGAGATGAATACATTGTAAAATCTCAGTTAAAGTCAGTTGGTCTAAATCAGTTATAAATATATTTGGACACAACATGTATACTTGGTGTTATGTTCCTGTTCATATTTTTTGAACTTAAAAGTTGACAGACAACCTTTATTACCAATAATATGTAATGTACTTTACAATGTTCCTGACATATATTTCAGCTTCCTGGATTTTTTTTTTCATCTGGCCTTCAGATATGAAAGGCAGAGTGATTTAACACCTGTTTAGATTTGTCATCCATGTGACGAAATGAAAAGTATGCTGTTTGCAATAAACTTTGCATAAAATAGTTAATTTGCATTTAATTTTAATGGTTCAAAGAATGTCAGGCAAAATGGTCGGCCCTCACGCATGTTCACTTCATCAAATCTGGCCCTCTTTGAAAAAAGTTTGGACACCCCTGGATTAAGGTGTAGGGTTTTTTGTTTTGTTTTTTGTAGAGGCCTATCTTGGAAACTATACTGTTGCCATCACAACGAAAGACCTCATCATAACATACATGTGTAATGTAATAGACGCTGCAATAAGAACCTTAACTTTGGATTTAGTGACGGTAAAGTTCCTGTTGCATGGCTTTTTGTATTTAATATTTTGCTGGTTCTGATAGTTAATTTATAACAGAGATGAAACAGCCATTTGTAATGTTGGTAATATCTTCAATATAATCAAAGGACACAAACACTTACAAAAACTTGAGAGAAGATATTTTCCAAAAACTACATAAAGGGAAGAGTTTATAGAATTCTAAGGCCAGATATTTCAGCACTGCAGCCAATGATAGTTAATACAGTCTGACAGCATACTTTATTTTTTAACTGTTTTTGCTTTTTTTAGCACCTCGAGTGCTCTGGCAGATTGTCTTGTTAGTGTTTCTTATGTTTCAAAAAAAATTGTTTAAAATAAGAAAAGTCCATTTAAAACTATTTTACTTATTAGGTCCCAGGATTTCTGCTGTGAGGTATGTGGCTCAGCAATGAAGATAAGCTTGTTACCATTAACATCAGGAAGTGCTTCAAGCCAGGCTGACAAAGAGGCCATGGAACTTGCCAAACAAATTAGCTTCAAGGTAGACTGGCTATTGATAATTGTTCTTTGTTTGATTGTTTAATTTTGAGGAAATTGCAAGTGTAGTATTGCTATGAGGAAACAAACTTTGAGAGCTGGCTTATGTTGTAACATAGCAGCACTGTATTGTGCTGATGTGCAGGATGCTTGATTTCAGGATAGGCTGTGTGAAAACAGGCTCTTTCCATAGGTGGTGCATTTGGTCTCTGGGAAGGTGCATTGATAAGTTGTCCAATATAAGCACTGACTGTGGTAACAAAGATAATAGCAAATGTTGCTTAATCATGGCCATTCTGACTCCCTGTTTTCAGTTACTAATAGCTTGATTAAACTTTCCAAAGTCAGATTAGTGTCTGCTAAACATAAATATTTTTGAGAACCTTAGACAAACACACTTTTCATAGGTTTTTTTAATGTGAAGAGAGTAAAATGTGTATTTTTTCATTATATTAAAAAAAATTTCCCCACAAGCTGCACAGCTGAAGGAGACAATGTAGAAAAATGGAGTCTAATATGGAGACGGCTTTTACCAGGAAGTGCTTTTTGAGTGGTGCAGTGAAATCAGATTTTTATTGTGCTAAGTATGACTCTTAGAAAATAGCATGTCATGTATGCACAGTATATTTTTAACAAAACTTCAGAAAGTGAGTTACTGAATGCTCTGCAATACATGGAGGCTAGACTTTCTTAACTGTAGTGAAAGATGTACCTCAGTGTTGCATTTTATTCAAAAGCCTCCCTATTGATTTCATTGAGGTCAGAATTTCACCCTATATCTGCAGTAGCACAGTTTATAGGACAGTGCTATGATACTGTTTGGTCTAGAATAAAAATGAGTATTTTTCACCTGCTGAATAACCAGTACCTATATTTGCAGCACTTATGTGTTTCTTATTACATATGGGATGTCCTTGGTCTGTCACCCTTGGGACCTGAGCTGTCCGAATGACAGTTTGCTAGACCAGGGTAGGTCAAGGCTTCCCTCCTGGCTATTGGCCTTGCTCCCCGCCGCAGTCCTACTGCCCCCAGGCCTGCTGGGGCAATACTTCCTACGCAGGGACTGGGACTACACATCCTAGTGCACTGACCTTGACTGGGGCTCCGCTCTTGATGATGGCCCAGGCTATACATCTAGGCTCCAGTTTGGGCTGGACTCCCAGGTGCCAGGCCCACTCCCTCTGGCTTGGTTTGGGATACGTTCCTCGCTATGCGAGCCCTGGGTGGGGCTGTGTTGCCAGCCCCTATTGGCTGGGGATGTGCTCCTGGCCACTGGGCACAACTGCCACCAGCAGGGTGGGGCTGTGCTCCCTGCCGCCAGCCCCAGCCAGGACTGTGCTCCTCACCATGGTCAAAACAGAAAGTTGCCAGACCAGAAAGTCCCACATTTAAGCTGTAATCGCTCTTCCAAATATAGACTTGGCCTGATTCTGTTCATAATCATGTTTTTCATATGAAGATCTCAAAACAGATTACAAAGATATAGGGTAAGGAACAGAAATACAGGCACAGAAAGTTAAAAATTGCTTTCTTGCAAAGGGCAAAAAATTGATCTGTTTTTTTTTTGTTTTTTTTTACTACTTTATGATGTATAAATCCTGAAAAGTGTGTGGAGTTTCTGTTCTTGATTTTTAAATAGGAGTAGATTTTAACAAAAGAAATGTTAAAAATGTCATCTCTGCTCTTTTTTTGATTTTTCAGATTCTCTAGTGGTCTCAGCTCATAATCTATATCTTTTAGAGCTTTTAATTGAAAGGTTATGGGGGTACAGTCTTTTAACAACTATTTTAAAAGTGATTTTCTTGGAGCATTGAGTTAAACAGGAACTTAACTAGCAAGCAAAGTGATGCGTAGAGCATGGTCTTTAAAGGGTAATTTGTATTAAAGAAAACACACTTGAAACATTACTTGGTTGTTAGGTGTTACTAGGCAATTTGGGGGGCAGGGAGGAGAGAGGGAAATTGCTTCTCTGCAATTCAGTTTGAAAAGTTACAGCATTAGGGGGCAGTTACATGTGCTCAGTGCACAAATTCAACAAACACAAAAATAAAGAAAATAACCTGATCGTGTCTGACTAAACATTCCCTGTGCTACTCACATATCTGTTGTTTCAAAACTTAATCCTTCCCTAGGCACGGATGTCGCTGATTCCCCATTCCTAGCTGCCTGGCTTATTTCATGTCCTCCCAGGCTCTCCTCTAGTCACGCAACAGGAAAAGGAAGGCCGTTGCTTCCAATTCAGAAGCCTACACTCTGTTTCCATTAGCTCTCCTGCCATCTCACTTCCTGGTTCCCTAGAATTCTGGTGACTCTCTAGAACCCACTGTCTATAGTTTTAACCTTTACAGGCAAGACAATTAGGGTTAGGTATAAAGCAGGGGTAGGCAATAAGTCACTAGGGTTAGCACCTTGTGGACTGCTGCCACTTTATTTAGTACAGGTGCTTGCAGATCTCATAGGCTGCAGATCACTGTTCCTGGCCAATGGGAGCTGCAGGAAGCAGTGTGGACTGGGGCATAGGTTCCTGAAGCTCCCATTGGCTGAGAACAGTGATCATACCTGCAGAGGTGTAGATAAATAAAGCAGTGGCGTCCACCAGGGCTAAACCTAGTGAACCATGACTGGCCTATGCGCCAGTTATTGCCCACTGCTGGTCTAAAGAGTTAACTATTGAGAATAGTCTTTAGCTAACTAAATGGCTGGAATGTCCAGAGAAATAGCATTATGCCCCCTCCCCCATTTCACCATAAAAGCAAACAAGAAGAACAGTCACCTGGTGAGGAAGGAGAAAAGGTAGCTCTAGAATACTTAACATGCCTCACATAAACTCTAATCTTTATGTTAAGGGAGAGTTTTCCAGCCCTTGTGCTGGAGCCTAATTCCACCAAAAAAATAGTCAAGGGCTGTGATATGTTTTCTCTTAGACCTCCAGAAAGATAGTTAATAAGATACATGAACATACTAAATTTACTACTGATTACATGAGGAACTAAACAATATTCCCCACATGCATGGACTACAATGACTCAGATTATAGGGACAATTTTAACTAGCTGAGTCTGGAAAACTCTCATGGGAGAGTGCATCAGCCACTTGATTAGAAGCCCCTTGAAATGTGGTGGTGTTTTCAAAATCAAAGTCTTGGGAGAGCTAAGCTCCACTGAAGAAGTTTCTTGTTAATCTCTTTGACTGTGTGAAACCCCCTCAGTTGAGCGCACTCGGTCTGCAGGTGGAAGTACTGTCCCCAAATATATGGGTGTAGCTTCTTTAGAGCATATGCAATGGTGTAACATTCCATCTCAGAGACAGTGGCTCTTCCTCTGAGAGCTTCTTGCTTAGAAACATGACCAGGTGAAATTGTTGATCTGTCCCTCTGACACATTCATTGTGATGAAAAACGGTTTGTCCAAGACTTGGGGCCCTTAGTACAGGATCAGACATAAGGGCTGCCTTAACTTGCTAAAAGTCTTCCTGACACTCCCCAGTCCTCTTAATTGCATTTGGTTGCTTCTTCCTCGTTATGTCTGTTAGTGGAGCGACAATCTAGCTGTAGTGCAGTACAAACAGCCTGTAATATCCTGCCAAGCCTGTTGTTTGACTTAGGGAAAGGCCAGTTCTAGATAGCCTCTACTTTAGGCTGTAGGGGGTTGATAGTTCCCTAACCCACCTGGTGTCCAAGGTAAGTCACCATATTTAGGCCTAGTTGACACTTATTAGCCTGAACTGTCAGCCCAGCCTCCTTTATGCACAGGAAAATAGCTTGGGAAGTGCTTTAGATAGTCTGCCCATAAATCAGAGAATGGTCCTTAAAAGGGTAATTTTTATTAAAGAAAACATACTTGGTGAAACATTATTCAGTTGCAAGGTGTTACAGGGCCACTGGAAAGAAAAAGGATTAAAAACACAGAGAATTACTTCCCAGGAATTCAATTTGGAAAGTTACAGCATAAGGGGATGGTTACATGTGCTCAGCTTTAAGATGTTCAACAAACCCCAGAATAAAGAAAATAACCTGATAGTGTCTGACTAAGCATTCCCTGTGTACTCTCTCATCTGTTTTTTCAAGA